CTCGCTCCTTTTTTTGGCTCTTTGGAGCTTTTTGGAAGCTGTGCTGGGTCTGTGCATTCAAGGCATCCCCTCTAGTCCTGCTGGAGGGGTGTGTGAAAATCCCATGGATCTGGAGCAAAGCATCGAGCAAGCTGGAGAGAAGGGTGGTATCCATCTGGGTGCAGCTCTGGAGCACCAGGAGGGAAGAGGAGGAGAGGGGTGAGTGCTTCCTGCCAGCGTTTTCTGGGTGCATGGAGTTGCTCTGCACCAGGAGCTGAGGGGAGGGGCTGACTGGTCCCAGTCTCTCCCCCCATCCACATACTGGTTTAGCAATCAACCCTGGAAAGCTTTTCATGTCAAAAATAAAAAAAAAGGAAAAAAGTTTCTAGTTTAAAAGCAAAAAGCTCCAAGTGTTAAATCGATCAGGGCCAGATGCTCCCCCCAGAGATGCTCCCCTGCCCTCCCCAGGGAGCTGTGGAGCCAGTGGAGGATGGGGACACAGGGGGGGGACAGGGACAGAGCCCCCCCAACGCTGGGGCACCCATGGGTGCTGGCTCAGCCCCCCGGGTGGGTGGTGAGGGGCTGCAGAGGCACGTTCAGCACACCCCAGGAAGCCACGGGCGAGCTGGACACAGCTCAGAGCCCTGGAAAAGGGCCACTGGAAAAAAGATTAAGTGAGTTTGGCCGGGAGGGAGCGGCGGAGGGAAAGGGGATGTAACAGTCTGTTAACATTGGCAGGGGCTGCACACAGATGGGAGCAGCCATTTCGGGGGGCCGTGGGGAGGCTGGAACCTGGAACCTCATTCCCATCCCCTCTTCGCTGCTGAAGAGCCTACAGGGATCTGCAGGGAGAACTTCAGGGACAGGGCTGCCAGGCATTGGAAGGGGATGCCCAGGGAGGTGGTGGAGTCCCCATCCCTGGAGATGCTCAAGGAATGACTCTGGTCTGTTGACAAGGTGATGATCAGTCACAGGTTGGACTCGATGATCTCGGAGGGCTTTTCCAACCTCAGTGATTCTGTAAAAACTCACATTATTTTTTTTAAACCAACAACCCTAAGGAGGCAGCCAGCACAGCGGCACGATAAGTAATTTATTTTATTGCATTTTATAATGCCATTGTCCATACAGATTACATGCAGCTAGACCTACTGTACAAGGGTTTACCGTCTGCCAACGCAGACACACGGAGCTCAGAGTACAAATACACAGCGAGGCTATTTCCTTTATACAGCACGAGGACGGCGGCAGGGAGGGGAGGGGTCGCTCTTTACACATCCGCCCTCCCCTCCACCCTCCGGCCCCCTCGGACCTCGTCCCACCTCCCCAGCATCACCTTCCCACCCAGCGCCAGAGGGGATGGGAACAAACGGGGAAAAACAGGAAAAGGTTGTGGCAGGGCTGGCGCTTCCCGGAGCAGCCGGGGGTGGGATGTGCCCGAGCCGTGGGATGTCTCCGGGGTCACGGTGGGCACCTCCGGGGGTGCAGAGCCCCCCCCAGCCCCTGGCTCTGGCCTGTCCCGACCTTCCCCAACGCTTCCAGGACAAAAACCTAGATCCAGGGAGAACCTCCGGGGCGTGAGGCTGGCCAGGGGTGTAAACAAAGCAAAGAAACCCTTTGGTTTGATGCAGGTTCGGCTGCTGCTCCCCCTTCCCCTCCACCGGCCCCCCCCCCAGCAGCCCCCAGTGCTGCCAGCACCCCCTCCCTTGGAGCACTGGTTTCTGACCCCCTCCCCTGGGTACCTGTTCGAGCTATTTGGGGAAAGACGTCATTGAGGGGGGGAAAAAAAAGAAAATCACATGGAAAAATTAGTAATTCCTTCAGTGGGAGATACCAGAAAAATGCCTTTACGTACAGAGAGGTGCCCACAGCTTCCCCTCGTAGAAGTGCCCTGGGTTGGGCAAAACCAGGAAATAAAACACAAAAAATACAGAAAAGCCCAAAAAGAACCATTTGTTTTGGTAGGTTTAAACCCAGAATATATATATCTCAATATATACAGACATACAATTCTGCCACACGTTGTGTTTGGTCCTTGATCCTCCCTCCCCCCCCGGCCTCCGGCGTGTGTTTGAGGTAAGACACGCAGAATTCAGTAAAATTCAAACCAGCAAAAAATTAACCAGAGGGGTGAGAGGGCTGGGGGCAGTGAGGGTGGGGGGACACACACAGTACCTGGTTCAGGTGGGACCCTGCAGAGGCAGCTGGGCTGGGCAGGGGGGTAAGAGAAGGAATTAAATTTACCCCTGAGTATCAAACCGGGCACGTTTCCTGTGAAATCACCCACCAGGATTCCCGGGGAAGAGGCATCACCTGGAGCCACAGGACTTTCCAAACCTGTGCATGTGTTTAAAGAAAAAAACTCCTTTATATTTATATATTTATTTATATATATATATAATATATAGAGAGAGTGCTCTTGGGAGCCGGGATGGCAGCTGAAAACCTCTGGGAATACTCAGCACGGAGGGGAAGGTGCCAGGTTTTCCTCACAGGGTCTGGGGGTGGTGATGGCACCACAGGGATTTTGGCTGAATCCACGGGGATCTGGAGGCCCTGGGAGGCATTTCAGGGGTGTCTGTACCTCTGGAAAAGCTTAAAAAAAACAAAAATAGTCATACCCCGAGGAAGAAGCCCTGGAGGGCTCGGCAATGCCGGGGCCACCTTGGATTTGTGCAGAATCCAGGGTGCAAAGCTGCCAAAAAATCAAAGAGCGGGAGGAAGGTGAGGGAAAAGGACCAGGAAGGGCAAAAAAAGGGGAGCAGCTACTGAAACCTCCTCCAAACAGTGAGGGGGTCTAACATGGGGTGTTGGCACTGCCCCAAGAGGCACAATGACCCTGCCAGGGAGGTGCCAACCCAAAATCCCAAAAACCTGGATGGAGGCAGGTGATTCCCCACAGAGGGTGAACCGTGGCCGAGCAGCAGTGAGGGCTCAGGGGCTGCACCCCAAGGTCCAGCCTGTCCATCCCTCCCTGTCCCTTCGTACGAGGAAAGCAGCAATGGGTCCCCCCAGCAACACCCCCCGTGCCAGCTGTAAACTTGGTACTACAATAACTTAAAATGAAAAGAAGTGGGAGGAAAAAAAAGGAGAAAGGAAAAGAAAAAAAAAAAGGGAAAAAAAAGGGGAAAAAGGAAAAAGAGAAAACCGGGGAGAAAAAAGTAAAAAGGAAAAGAAAAAAGGGAAAAGGGAAAAAAGGAAAGAGGAAAAAAGGAAAGATGAAAAAAGGAAAGAGGAAAAAGGGAAAAAAGGAAAAACGGAAAGAGGAAAGAGGAAAACAGGAAAGATGAAAAAAAGGAAAGAGGAAAAAGGGGGAAGAAGGGGAATAAAGGGAAAGAAAGAGGGAAAAAAAGAAAAAAAGGGGGAATAAAGAAACAAGAAAAAAAGGGAAAAAGAAAAAAGGGGGAAAAAAGGAAAAGTAAAAAGAAGGATAAAATAAAGTAGGTGGGGAAAATTGCCGGTGCCTGCAGCCTCACAGCTCCTTTGGCAGGATGGGGGGACAGCAAAAAGGGGGGGTCGGGTGGTGCCCCCCGGCCCGGGCAGGGTCTTTGGTGTCCGGCGGAGCCCGAGGGGGGGGGCGGAGGGGCCGGGAAGGGGCCGGGAGCCGGGAAAGGGGCCGGGAAGGGGCCGGGAAGGGGCTGTCCCGGATCTCGGCAGCCGCGGCGCGGGAGAAGCGCGGGTGACACCTACAGGGGTGTTGGGGACCCGCGGGAGGAGCAGGGAAAACCCCGGATTTGGGAAAGGGAAAGGGCCCCCCTGCAGCCCCAGCCGGGGGGGGGTGTGCGGGTGACCCCCCTTAACAGCCCCCGAGGGTCTCGGCAGCCCCCGGATGGTGACACAGGGGATGACAGAGGGGGTGGCACACGGGGTGGCACAGGGGAACACGGCTGGGGTGGGGGGTTCTGTTCAATGTCACCCCGGCTGCAGGGGGGACCCAGGGACCCCCTTCTCTGCAGCCACCTGGGCACCGAGGATGCTTCAGGCAGTGAAAAGGATGAGTCGAGTAGGGGCTCACCCTGGGGATACCCCACAGCACCAGGAGCCCCTTGGGGAGGTCACAGAGGTGACGTGGGGACAGACAAACACAACCCCCCGTGACCCAGAGCTGCGTGTTGCATTTTCAACACCGCTCCCAGGATGTCAGCCCCATGTCCCCTGGGGGTGACACAGCCCCCCAGTGCCTCATCCCGGAGTACCAGGGACAGGGAGGGATGGAGCAACCCTCGGGATCGCTCTGGGAGAGCCTGGAGCTGGGCTCAAAAACGTGAGCAGCCCCACATCCATCACAGCGAGCCCCTAAAGACCCCGCTGTGTGCCAGGACAGCCAGTGCCAGCCCGGCTGTGCCAGGGAAAGTGCTGCTCCCCAGGGAAGGTGATGCTCCCCAAGGAAGGTGATGCTCCCTGAAGCCAGCACAGGGCACTGGGGATGCCACGCTGCCCGCCAGGAGGAGGCTGGCACTGGGTACCCACATCACCACCCCAGAAAGAAAGAGCAGGGAGAAGAGGGGTGTTTGGTTGCGTTGTTCTCATTATTATTAATATTTTTTTTCTTTTGGCATTAATACCATCTGTTCACCTGAACTACGGACCTTCTGTCTCTAGAAATCTTTTGGTATCTTCCCATCTGGACGCACACAAAAGGATAAGGAAAAGAAAAGATGAAAGCGGGAGCCCCCCTGCAACGGGCTCGGCTTGGGGGGCCATGGCCAGGTTTGGCCACCACGGGGATCCAGCGGGCTTGGCTTTGCTCCCAGCGGGATGGGATGACCCCCAGCTCCTCTGCAGGTGCCCCCAGGAGGAGGCTCGGTGTTGGGGGGGATGCTGCCCTCCTGCTCCACTGAGACCCTGCCCCGACTCTGGAGGTGGAACGGGGCACGCAGGGGGGCTGGGAGCCTTTCCCTGAAGTCGAAGTCGGGCCACTGGCCATCCCCCCGTGGGCTGGGAGGTGTCACCCGCTGCAGCCACGTCGAGCAGGACGGGGGGAGCCCAGGACGGGGAGAGCCCAGGACGGGGAGAGCCGTGTCCTCACTGCTGCTGCTGGCAGTCGGCTGGGGATGGGCAGCACTGCTGGGTGCCAGGAGCCCCCCACCAGCTCGTGGAGGGCAGAGCCTGGGGAGGCCGCTCTGCTTGCCAGGCAGTTTAGCAACTGGCCGGAGGTGACAAGGCAGAGGGGACCCCGTCCCACTGACGTGCTGGTCCTCATCCTTCCCCAGCTTGGAGACAACGGTGCGAGCCCGACATCCAGAGCACGGCAGAGGGCTCAGCCCCGTTTCCGCTGTTTCTTCCCCCAAAGCTGGGTGGAGGCAGCACGCGTGGGCAGGGTCCACGGTCCCTCCTAGTGCAAAACCCACCGGGGGCCCGAGGGACGGCAGTGGGTTCCTGCCTTCAGCGGGTTCCTGCCATCGCTGCCCGGGGACGGCCGAGCGCCGCGGCAGGAGGGGACAGAGGCACCTTCCCTGCGCCCGCCGCGCACGGGGAGGGAAGGAAGGGACCATTTCGGACAGAAACAACCTACCATCCTCGTTCACCAGTCACTAACCAAGGGAGGAGGGGAGAAAAAGTCCAGCTCTCGGGTTTCTGCTTCTCGTGCCGGGGTCGGTCAGTCACCGGCTGCGGCGCGGGGCAGTGGGAGCGCGAGGGACGCGCCGGCAGCAACGGGTCGTTGCCCCGAGGAAACCCTTCTGCTTTGTGGAAGTGCCTTTAAAGAACAGGTTAACGCCGAAGGTCACCTTGGGGAGGCGGGAGCGTCGCTTGGTCTCCGGCCGGGAGGGTGGGAAGGGTTTGCCCCTCGGTGAGGGAGGAGGAAGGAGTCCTTAGGACAAGTCTTCCACTGGCAGCTCCTCCTCCAGGTCCCTGTCGTCGGGAATCGTCACATTCTGGTTGGTGGTGGCCATCAGCGACACGGGTCTGCTGTCGTCCTCCGCCTCGGCTGGTTCCTCCTTCACGTGCACTGGGTGGCTGTGGGAGGGGGGAAGCCTTCAGCCTCGGGGGGCTGCTCCCCCCCAGCCACAACCCTTGGTCCCAAACCCTCCTTACCCGGGGGACAGGAGCCACAGGAAGCAACGAGCAGCTCCTGGTGCCCAAAGTGTCACCATCCTTTAGCTCCAAAGCCCCCAGCACCCCAGTGCCCCCCGGGCATCCCTGCTGTCCCCCAGGCTGACCTGTACTGCTGCGGGGACAGGCGCGGGCTGTTGCTGCCGTTGCTGTTGACCTGCTCCACGGTGCTGCTGACGTCGTCGTGGCCCACGTGCAGCATGGCACTGGCCGAGCTGGTGTTGATCATGGTGGGGCTGTTGAGCAGTGGGAAGCTGCTCTCTGCCAGCGCAGCCTGCAACAGAGAGCATGGGGCATCACAGAATCAGAACGGTTTGGGCTGGGAGGGACCTCAGAGATCACCAGTTCCACCCCCTGCCATGGGCAGGGACACCTTCCACCAGACCAGGCTGCTCCAAGCCCCTCTAACCCAGCCCTGAATGCTTCCAGGGATGGGGCAGCCACAGCTTCCCTGGGCAACCTGTGCCAGGGCCTCCCCGCCCTCACAGGGAAGAACTTCTTTTGTATCTCTAACCTAAATTTCCCCTGTTTCAGTTTGAACCCATTCCCCTTGTCCCTCACTACAGTTCCTGGTGAGGGGGGGGGTTTAGTGCCCCTGTGGAGGGGTTTAGTGCCCCCGTGTCCCAGTCAGGGACAGGATGGGGTCCTTACCTGGTAACTTGCATTAAGTGCTCCGTAACCGAGTCCTGAAATCATATTTTTGACTAAGGTCGGACTCCTGCAGAAAGACAGAAAGCAGAAGGACGCGGGGCTGAGCGCTGCTGGCCTGGGGACAGGTGTGAGCACAGCTCCCAGGCTGTGCCCGTGGCAAAGGAGCACCCACCCTGTCATCTTTGGTGGCCTTCGCTTTTGGTACTCGTGCTCGTCCACGGTCCACACGGCGCCCTTGACGTTCTCCACGCGCACGAAGCACTTGTGCAGGCTCAGGTTGTGGCGGACGGCGTTCTGGGGGCAGAGAGGGCAGGGGATCAGTGGCATGACCCTCATCCCACTGCCCAGACCCTCCTCTTCCTCACCATCCTCCTCCTCCTCCTCCTGTCCTGGCCACCCCAACGCTCCCCAAAGCCACCCAGGCTGCTGTGAGTGCTTCCCCCACTCCACCAGCACTGAGGGGGTTGAGCTGTCGAGCCCCCAAACCACATGTGGGACATGACCCCGTTTTGAGGACCTTGGCCAGATGCTGAGGAAGAGGGGACAGTATGGGACAAGTGACAGCGGCAAGGACTGGGAGCAGAACCACCCTCTCTGCTCGGCAAAGCCAGCTAATCTTTCCCTTTCTTTTCCTTTCCCCCACCCTCCCCTTTTGGTCCTTTCCCTCCCTTTCTTCTTTACATCGACCATCTTTACATTTCTAAATGTAAAATAAAGAGACACACACGTAGGCAGACAGCACAGCCCCGAGAGATACCAGCTCCCTTTTCCCCTTCCAACTCCCTGCCATTTGCTACTGCCCCTATTTCATTACCAATTTTAATTTGCCTCTAATTAAATCCTGTGTATTTTTCCGACTCACTTGCTAATCCATGAGGGAGGCAGGAGGCTGGAGTGGAATCTCTCCGAGCTATAATTACAAAGGGCCTAATCACGCCGGGGCTCTGCCTTTGAATAAATTTCCTTGCATTAAGGTTCTCAGATTCTCTGCCTTGCAAATGAGAATGACCCCAATTTCAGGAAGTTGGCCTCGGAGGGTTTTTTTTTTTCTCCCTTTTTTTTTTTTTATTTCGAGTCCTGATTCGTGATGAGAGACTAATTCGTTACGCTAAAACATTAACAGCAATTTAAAAGGTCGAACGGGGGCTGTATAAACAAAGGAGCTGCCCAGCACAACAAGGCGAGAGGAGACACAAGGACTGAGCCCCCCCTGTACCAGCAAGTGCCAGAGCGCCCAGAACCTCATCAGATGGCACCATCACCCCTTTTGCTTCTCATTTAAGGAGAAAAACAAACAAAGCTGGGCTCTTCCCTTGTCCTCCATCCATCCCTTCCCACCCCAACCCCTCCCTCCAGCTGTGCCACAGTGCCCGGTGCTGACACCATGGCAGGGTGACACGGTGACAGGGTGACACGGTGACAGGCAGCAGGGCCGGGCTCTGGCTCCTCTGGCCCTTTGGCAGAGCACAGTCCAAAGGGGAAACTTTGTAAGCAGCTCTCAGGGCTCCTGGGGAAGGAGATTCCGGCCCAGCCAGTGCTGTCTGATGTGATTTTTTTTGGGGGAGCCCCCGCAGGACCCCACAGATCAGGAGCTGACCCAGCGTCTCGGGCGTGGCTGCAGCCAAGTCCTGGGGTCCCAGCTCAGAGCCACTGTCCCTGTCACCCAAAGAGACGCTCCATTTGGGCCATGCCCTGCTGGGAGGCACCACTCAGCCTCAGCCTCAAACCCCGTGCTGGCATCTCCCAGGGTCGGGCTGCACAGTCTGTGCAGACAGACATCCCAGGGACCTGGAATTCCAAGGAGGACCCCGAAATCCATGGGGGAGCAGGACAAGCCCCTGTCCCCCACTCTGTCCTCGCACCATCCCCTGCCTGGGGTCTGAAGTCCAGCCAGGGCTGGGGCCTTCCAGTGCCCTTGAACCCCCGTCCCTGGTGGGCAAACACAGGACGTCCCTCCCTGGCTGGATCCTGCCCACACTCCCCTTCCTCCTCCCTCCCTGGGCAGGGGGCTCCTCATCCAAGCAATGCCCTGACTGCAGCCACGGGTGTGGCAAAGCAGAACCTTCCCTGCCCACAGAGACACAGGCCCAGCAGTGCCCATGTGCCCCCCTCTCCACGGTGACAACCCCCTGCTCCAAAGCACCTGGGTGGGGATGTGCCTGCAAAGGCTCAAATGGAGGTAAAATAAATCCTGGCAGGGGGCAGGATGCAGCTCAGCACCCCCAGAGCCTGGGATGCCCCCTCCCTGTGTTGGGTGCTGTGCCCAGGACACGGAGGAGGTGCCAGGTGAGCCCCCCATGGCATGGGATCCACCCCCACGGTGCCTCAGCCCAACGTGGCTTTTGTGTTTCGAGGGAGTGTTTGTTCAGAGCCAGACCCGGCTGCTCTGTTTGCTTCTCATCTCTCTCCTCTAATGATGTTTGCTTTACACCCTCCACCCACTCCCTGGGCTGTGCTGGGGGCTCCCCGTGGGTCCCCCCTTGCTGTGGGGATGGGGCACCCACCCTGGTCCCCAGCACCCCTGTCCCATCCCAGGGGAGCTCCAGGAGATGAGGGAGAAGCAGCAGAAATGGTGGTTTTCGAAGAGAGGAAATACACAATTTTTTCCTGTGTATCCCACTCCTTCAGAAGAAGCCTGACCTTGGACACTGGAAGTTATGAAGAGAAGTATCCCCCCCTCCAGCTCTTTTTAATCTCCTGCCATCCCCTTTGGTGATAGAACAGGAAAAAATGAAGAAAAAACACGATGGGAAGCAGAAGGGCTGGGAGATGCCCTTCTCCAACCCTGCCCTTGCTAACACAGGGCGCGGGGAAGCCGCAAAAAACCTCCCAAAATATTTATTCCTTCCAGCTAATAAAAAGGTGGGAAAAAGACATTTCACCTGCCACCATCTCATTCCAAAGAGGGGGAAACTGAGGCACGGAGCAGGTGAAGTGCTGCCCTGGACAGTGCTGGGAGCAGTGATGGCCACAGTGGGCTCTGCCCCAGTGTTCCCCATTGCTGCCCAGTGTGGGGTGTCCCCAGTGTGGGGTGGTGGTGACAGTGGTGGTAGCAGTGGCAGGGGCCAGCAACACTCGTGGTGCACTTGCAGTGCTGCCCGTGTGCAGCGAGGGGCACTCAAGACCGACACAGCCCGTGGCCAGCCCCAAAACTGCCCCAGCACTTGGCTGCTCCTGCCCAGCCCCATCCCAGTGCCAAGATGCTCCAGATGGGCTGTGCCAAAGGCAGGGCCCACCCAGACTGCTGGGGAGCCAAAACCCCTGTTATTCACCCAAAAGTTTTCTGCAGATCCCAGCTCGGATCTGCCACAGCGACACACGGGGGCCCTGGGCTCTGGGAGAACCGATTCCTCCTCCTCCTCCTCCTCAACCCTCTCAAAATGCTCCATCTCGCTTGCACCTCGCTGATTCTAATTATTTTTATTTTAAACTAACACGTGTCCCCTCTGCCACTTCACTCCTCGCTGCCCTGGGCAGGAGGGAGCCGAGCTGTGCCTCGGTAAATATGTGCAGCAGGAAACAATAAGTAAGTAAATCTTCCCTGGTCGAGGCAATAACTGAACCACAGAACTGCTCCTTCCACAACTCCCCGCTCCTCTGAGATGTGTTTTCTCAAACTTCAATTTCTAAATAACCAAGGGGGAAGCAGCCCCAGCACCCACGTGCTGCCCCCAAATTCACCTCCATCAGCCCAGGCCGGTGACAAATGGCTCCTCAGGGACAAAAACTTTCAGTACCTGCCTGTACAGCACCGTGCTCTGGGTGGGGGGACCTGATGGGCACAGGCACCTGCTTGGGGTCTGGCAGAGGAGTTCCCCTTGCTGATGATCCCCCCACCACCCCCACTCTTCCTCCATCCCCCTGGCCCAGCACCTGCACCCCGGGCCACCACTGAGGCCCAGCCACCTCCTCTCTCAGAGTCACCTGCCCCCAGGTTATCATTAACCTTCTTTGCTATTTCAGGTGTCTCTCTTTTGTCTCTGCCCTTCTCCTCCAGCCTCAGCTCCACAGAAAAGCCCAGCACAGGGATGCTGTGCCCTCACAGACCAGGGACCAATTTGGGTAGGGAAAATGGGGGATTTATCCATAAAATCATCTCCTGCACCGTCTCAGAGCTGTGCAATGAACTGGTCCTTTACCAGAGGTGCCCACACAAGCTGGAGCATCTCCCGCAGCAGGGAGTCCCCTGTGGGATGGGGTGAATCCGGGTGGGATGGGGTGAGTCTGGGTGGGCTGGGGTGAGTCCAGGTGGGCTGGGGTGAG